AAAAAAAGGCGATCAGAACGTTTTATTTTTTTATATTTCATTGAAGCTATCACACCTATTTAATAGATCAGTCCAAGGAAAAGGCAAATATTTTCTCGTGGCATTTGGCGCGAAATTATGAATAGTGGCCCGCCTTTTTAAATTCTTAGACAGTGTACTGTTGCAAAAGTATACACAAGTATATTTAGAGCAGTACTCCCAATAACTTAATGGTTAGCGCGTTGGGGATAACAAAGAGAAAAAAAGCGCATTCGAATTGGCGACCTGGGTTCAATGGACCTACTCCTTGTGACCAAAATTTTGAATCACTTTTCAGCTCGATTTTACGAGGGTTTTTTTTTTCCTGAAGCGGACGGAAGACCTCTCGTTGCTCGCAACGAGATCGTATCTAGTTATTCTTATTATTATTATTATTCCGTACACCAAATTTTGTGCACGCGATTTCTCGAAGACTACTGGATGGATTTTCATGAAATTTACAGAAATTATGTATCGTTATCTGAAGTTATTTTTTCCGAGAGATTTTTTGAAAATTCGCTTCTGGTGCCAAGTTACGGGACATTTTCTGATTTTAAAATGACATTTTGTCTACGGTTAATCTCAAGAACGGTAGAAGATATAAATGTGAAACTTTCAGAGATTATTAATCAAGATATTTGCTATCCAGGACGCGACCTTTCGTTCGTCGTCAGTACTTCCGGTCGTTAGGACAAGCGAATTAAAAAAAATGTATTTTCTAACTTTTTTGTTTTTCAATATTTTTCATTTATTTTTGGAATCTTAATAGAAACCCTTCCATTGATGCTTACTATATAATTTTTTTGAATATATATAAATATATACTCTAGATATTAGCATTTGAAAATCTGAAGCGAGTCCAATATGGCGGCTGTCTCTGTCCACTCCGACATTTCGCAATAGGGGTTTATGGAGGCAGCCGAGCGTTTGCTTGAACGAAAGTAACATAAGGATAAATGAAATATAAAGGTATACTTTGATTGTCACGTCGTACTTACGTAACAAACTTAAATTTAATGTAAGGTCTTCTCAAACGTCTTCTATAATTGGTTTTGGTTAGTTGTCAAAGAAAGAAAGGACTAAAAGTGCAAATGAAATACGAAATTTTTGTTTTGCACGACGGAAAAACAGATCGTATATCATAGTTATAAGAAATAGTTTTTCAAGAGACAATATCGATGTATATCTGAAGTATAAAGCTTAACTATTGTTTTCCCATGCACACTTGTGTCAGATTATACAAACAGAAGAGAAAAATAAGAAAATCATATTTTAATAGATCGTTTAATGGAGTTTATATTTACATTCTTTTCTCAAAGATATTTAAAGCTATTGAACATGAATGGTATCTGGTTCCTTGACCGTCGTAGGGCGAGACATTTGAGGTTTTTCAGCGAACCATTTCTACCTTTTCAGTAAGGTGTAACTAATCGGGATAGTTAACTTTGGGGATAAACGGGAAATTTAAAATAGTTAAAAATGATAACTATCTCACGTCTTTAGTGTTATTTACCTACGATATAGAATATGTACAATGTGTTAAATATAGGCCTACTGTCTAAACCTCGAAATTTAGGCTATAAGAACGTTCTTTTTTTCTTAATTTCATCGAAGCTGTCACACCTATTTAATGGAACATTCCAAAGAAAAGGCGTGAAGATTTACTCGTGGCGTTTGGCGCGAAATTATGGATAGTGGCGCGCCTTTCAAAGTTCTTAGACAGGTGTATTGTTGAAGAAGTATATACAAAAACATTCTGAGCAGTTGACCCAGTAGCGTAATTTAAGCGCGTTGGGAATAAAAGAGAAAAAAGCGCGTTGGATTTTCACGCTTGCGACCTGGATTCAATCCTCTTTGTGGCAATTTATTTTTATCACTTTTCAGCTCGATTTTCGAGGGTTTTTTTTTCCTGAATCGGACGGAAGACCTCTCGTTGCTCGCAACGAGATCGTTTCTAGTTTATGTATATTTTTGCATCTCCTGGCATTAAATAAAAACTTATAGCTTGGATAAAACTTTCTCCAAACGAAGTCCCTTTCGAACAGCAATTATGGAGAAAATTAGTGTACACAAACAAATTCATTCGTAAAACTCACATGAAATTTTAGATTTTGATATAATAAAAAAATTACAAAATTCAATAACATCAAAATGGACGACTTTTCAAAACTTTATACAACTACGAGGGGTTATCAAAAAGTTCGTGGACTAGCGTCATAAAATTAAAACCGCTTTAAGCACATCAATGAATTTTAAAATATCTAGTAAGCAACATCTTTTCTATCTAAAGAATCAACCATAAATCATGAATTTTATTTTTTAATAAATAAGTGATGTTTTTATACGCAATGGTATGTCCAGGCGGCGCAACCTCGAACACAACGTTTTTGCGACCTATGTGTAACTGAGAAAAATTCTTTTGATATGGTCATTTGACATCCAAAAATCCCGTTAAAACAGGTATGTGTCTGGACATAATTGTTCCATAAAATACAAAATTTTCACTTCATTCTGGAAGGTCTGTGAAATTTTACCGCAAATTTTACACGGAATGTCCAAACAAATGAGGCCTTGAAAATGACGTCAAAAGGGGGAGGGGTTTCCGTTTCCAACATGCTATAAAGTTTTGCCCCTGAAAAAAACTGGTATAGACCTAAAATATGTTGAAACTGGCTACAGAGAAATAAAATGCATCCAGAGTACTTGTCTTTTAATGTAAAAATAGATTCAGAGAGAAAAAAGATACACAGTTAATGTCGATGTGCAGTCAAGGTGTGAAAAATCAATCACGTCAAAAAATGACGTTGATCATGCGTTGTAGATATTGAACTCCCAAAAGCAAAATATGCCGGCACAGTCAAGCGAGGATCTCTCCCAATGTATTAATCCATTTGGAATATTATATTCATTGAAGGCCACTGTTCATGACATTGTTAAGTCATATATACAAGGCAGGTTTAAGTCCTTACTCAGCTCTGGACAGGGTTTCTCATGAAGAAAGTATATGAGGAAGAAGAAGCTGACAATGAAAAACAATGACGTTATCGGACGTCATGAAAATAAACGACGACAGCGCCGGGTGATCATATATTGTCGTTTTCATTTTATAATAATTTGGAAAATAACGAACGTATCAGGCTAAAATTTTCAATATTTCTTTATTTTTTGTTGTTTTATATTCCATATAAATTTTGGAAGCACAGACTACATAGTACTAATTTTATAGCATCAGTCCACGAACTTTTTGATAACCCCTCGTATATCCCTCGATGTTGTTCTGGTCGATACACTGACCTTAGTTGAAAATGCAACCTATCGTTCTGTAGAATGTTGATTGACGTTTTTTTTATATTTGGTAAAAGTAGAAGACCTTTATAATTATTCACACAGTGAATTGTCTATGAATTTAACTTTTGTTCGATCATGACAAAGAGCACATAGTGGATGTGATCGATCGAAGCGGGTTGCTTATTCATCCATGGCATCTGATCTTTCATCTGATGAATTTTTAATATTTTTTTTTTTTTAGATTTCCGTATTTGCTCTGCAGTATGAACTGCAACTTTGATGACGGAATTTTTGGTTGAAGAATTGTAATTAACTATTTTAATAATAGAAAATAATAACACTTTTAAACTTTTGCCGTTCATATTTGCGATGGAAGAACTATTTATGTGCTTAGATTGAAGCAAAATTACATTGTTCTCGTCCTGCACAATATTGATTTCTTATATAATACTACACATTCCATTGCACAAAAATCATATTTCTGAAACAATTTAATGCTTTCTTTTAGTCTAACTTGTCATCAAGGTTTAAAGCAATATGAGCTGTATTTATTGGATAAAATTATTTTGCTGATAAAATGTGTTATTATGATTAATTTGTATAGTAATTTAAACCCTTATGATTAATAAAACCAAAATAAAATGAGAATAAACCTGAGGCGTACCACTAGGCAACTGCGACGAGAGAGAGAGAGAGACTACATTGCATTCAGTGCTTGTTATGTTTTTCAGAGTGACAGCGTATGGCCAAATAAAAGCCACTTAACCACAGAAGAGTTAAAAGAAATTTTCAGTTGCTGTGAGTATTAACAGGAAATGTAACCGTTTTCACCATCATCATCATCTTCATTATCATCATCATCAAATCATAATCATAACCAACATCAGCATCATCAACAACATCAACATCATAATCATCATTTTATCATCATCGTCAACATCAGCATCATGATAATCATCATCATCATCACCATTTAAGCGATGAAATACAATACTAAATCCAATATCATTTTATTTATATGCTCTTATCACAACCGTATACTAATACCTCCTTTATAGTTTCAGGTATTGGAGATATTTCCTCAGGTGAGTTTAAAATATTTTTTTTTTAATTCAAATGATAATTTTACAGTGTATTTTTATTCTTTTGATTGACATCTTAAACTTGTATAATTAGCTTTGATATGTTTTTGTATCTTCTTATGAACCAAACTCTGGATAACTTGCTTGTAAAATTTATGAATTCCAGAACAGACTGTAGCTTTATATGACTGTATGTACTAAAAGGGTTGTTTGTTCTCAAATATATTCTCAATGTTCATTTTTATTTAAAATCAAGCGAGTACTAGTTTATAATTTGTAATCTTTAGCTTTTGTTTCAGAGAACCGTGACACCTTTGGTACCTTATTTGTTCTTCCTAACGATGATTTTAACACAAGTATTTTCTGTTTAATTGGTGGATATGACTCTCAACACACTTTTTCCGGAAAAAAAATCATCATAAAGCAACATACCAAAACTGGGTGCGAGGACGTACTCCGTAGTATTGTTAATAATTCTATATCTTTAAATGCTACTTCTCCAGTGATCATTTTTATGAACCAAAGAGAACTATCTTTATCATGTCAGTACAAAGGGGTTGATAGCAACTATGATACAAATGTTTTTATTGTACCTCCCGTTGATATTTTAAGTACGGAATATATCGTTACTTTCCCACCTTTACCCCCTGATGATGCCGACAGTGAATGTTTGATTTTAAGTTTGTTTGACAAAACCTCATATGCTATACCACAGCTGAACGTATCCGATACAATACAAAGGATGCAACAAAAAAGAATTTCTTCTATGGCTACGGGAATGTTTATCGTCGCCAACAAAGTCATTTCAGTTTTGTGCTATATATACGACAGAAATAACCAATATATTATAAATCATCCCCTTCCCTCATCCGGAACTTATTTCCAATTGATGAAGTCCCGAAACGTCATAGAGGAAGAGTTCATAATGGTATCAACAGAAGGAAACACAGCATTGACATTTGACATGGGCACAATGGAAGGCTTGAACTACACACTGCTTCATAAGAGAAACGCTTTGTTGCAAAATATGGGCGAAAATGAAACTTATACATGGAAAGAAAATATTTCCATTTTGTTCATCACTGCCAACAAACCTGTGATTGTAGCGGTTTACTTTAGACAGAAAGAAACCACGTCGGATTCTACGCCGTATTGTTCAAACGGCACTAACTTTGTTTATGTTCCACCAGCATCAGACGTAACTTGGCAGAACGAAGAAAATAACAACATTTACCTGTTTCAAAACGGATGGCCATATAATTTTAAAATATCCACTAGAGAATACGTACGAATTTTTATTTTTTTTCTGTCATTTCTCAAATAATGAAAAAGGTTATTTGTGATACGTGTGATATTAAAATTGAATAGAAGTAAACTTTTAAACAGCTTCGTATTTGTCTAGATGTAACATTGTTGACATTTAATACAACATAAGACTGTCTATTTAACCCAAAGAAACTTTTCATTCTCTTTTCTTTCTCTTCTATACTTATCAACTAAAAAGGTATCCCCTGTTTTAGAATGACATTTTTCTCCAGCTTATGATTTCTATCCTCATGGCTACGAATAAAGTAAATGCAACTGTCTAAATAATCAAATTTCAATCGAAGATGCATTACATAGTCCCCTTTTTAAATTCTCTGTTCAAGCTTCCAACGTTAAACCAGCTCCTCCCTGGTGACGAAGAAGACAACGATCAAGACGGTTTAGTAGATGAAGATAACTGTCTGTATTTTAAGGACGGTAAGACTAAATTCTACTCCTATATTACAGATTTCCTTTGATCAAATATTTTTGGTTTGGGGAAAATATAAATTTTTTTTGCTGGTATGATAATTTTAAAACAATTTGTGGAAGATTTGCATTTATGGGTCTCTTCATAACAGCTAAGCCAATTAGATCCAACGAAAACTATTGATAAAAAAGGTTAGTTTTTCATAACATTTAATTCATACTATCTCCTGCGTACGCTTAAATATTACTAAATTCAATATATCTATCTTTAGATTACAAAGCTGAAGTGCCGTCTGACCTTGACCTAGATGGCTCAGATGGAGAAGACTGTAAAGGTACGTTCTGAAATAGGAACTTTGTAGATATTAGTGATATAATTCTTGTCTGTAAGAATATCAAAATTAAGAATCATTGACGTTCTGTTTTTGTTTGAGAAAGTCTAGAAAAGGAATATTTGAAATTTTTGTCCGATTGATCGTCCAGATTTTAAAACTTTATGAAAACAAGATGTGTTTGTGAAACACAATGCGCCCGGCGGCAACAAAAATCGAAAAAGCTATTTTTAGCATATAAGCATAGGTAACATTCAAGGTCACAAGGTCATTGACCTTGGTGTCATTTGAAAGGACTTGATGAGTGGATTATGCACACCAAATATGAAGTCCCTATCTTTTATGGTTCAAAAATAATGGTGAAAGGTACGAAAAAGATATTTTTAGCATATAGGTCACATTCAAGATCACTAGGTCATTGACCTTGGTGTCATTTGAAAGAACTTTATTAGTGAAGTATGCATACTAAATATGAAGTCTCTATCTTTCATGGTTCAAAAGTTATGGTGAAGGTTAAAAATTTCAGACAGAAAAGCTATTTTTAGCATCTAGGTCACATTCAAGGTCACAAGGTCATTAATATTGGTGTCATTTGAAAGCACCTAATTAGTGAAGTATGCATACCAAATATGAAGTTTCTACCTTTCATGGTTCAAAAGTTATGGCGAAGGTTAAAGTTTGGGGACAAACAAACAAACAGACAGACAGGACAAAAACAATATACGCCTCGGATCTATCGATCCGGGCGCATAAAAAACATATATTTATCTAACATAAAAAAGAGTGGAAATCATGTATATATTACTTATTTGTCTCAGACAAAAAGTCCAGAACACATTGATACAAAAGTCCTTACATATTGATCTGACTGAACAAGGTAGAATTAAATCATTGACATATTTGACTACAGGAACTATAGAATTGACTCTCTGAGATCCATGTCAGAAACTCTTACAATTTTTGTATAGCAAAAGGTCCAGAGTCGAAATTGTTGACATACATGTACATGTATTTGTCTCACAACAGGTCCAGAATATATTCATCAAATAGAGAGCCCAGCCAAAATGGAGAACTTTTATGTATTTTTTTGTCAGATAAGAAGGTCTACAGAAAAAAATCAATATATTTTTTTTTTACTTTTTCAACAGGAGGAAGATTAGAAATCATTGACATAAATTGTTTGAAAGAGATCAAAATTAGAAATCAATAATATGTTAATATTCATTTGAGAGATGATTCAGATTAGAAATAATTAAAACATTTGTCTTTAAGAACGCCCAATGTACATAGATATCATTGATATATTTTGTCTTAGAAAAATGAAATTGAATAGAACTATTGAAATATTTGCCCTGCAGAAGGCCCAAGTAAGAAATTCAACTCGATATTTTGATATATCGTACATATTGTCAATTAACAATGGTAATTTCCATTCTTAAGTCGATACAATATATCCTGTTGGTCTTGAGATAAACGATACCATAGAGTCTGACACATCTGTTTCATATTTGGATATTTTACTTGCAAAAGATGTTGATGGTAATCTAAAACCAAGGTTTATGATTTAACGTGATGACTTTAACTTTTCTATCGTCCACTTTCCTTACTAATGCAGCAGTATACCTTCATCACCTGTACACGGAGTCTCGATATGTCAGTTGCATCGATACACAAAAACATGCTCTATGTATGAACAATTTTTAAAACAAGGTAAATTTTCGACAAAGATTGATTGATTGATTGTATACTGTTTAACGTCCCTCTCCAGAATATTTCACTGATATGGAGAGGTGTCACCATTGCCGGTGAAGGGCTGCAAAATTAGGCCTATGCTCGGCACTTACGGCCCTTGAGCAGGGAGGGATCTTTATCGTGCCACACCTGCTGTGACACGGGGCCTCGGTTTATACGGTCTCATCCGAAGGACCGCCCCATTTAGTCGCCTTTTACGACAAGCAAGAGGGTACTGAGGACCTATTCTAACCCGGATCCCCACGGGGCTCGACAAAGAAGAATAAAATAAGAATATCAGTAATCTCGTTTAAGTCATCATTTCGTAAATTCTATAGTCGATACAATGACCTTCTCAGTAAATACAATTTATCATTGAGTCAAATGATAAACGGTGGACAAAAGTATCCAAACGATTTACGTTGGTTTACGTATGAATGCAAATGTTGGCGTTATTTATAGCTGGCATTTTCGGTGTAGACACGATTTAATGCTACACTTTGAATATTTTTAGATTGATTACTACTTCCTGTTAACATTAAATACGTCATTAATTATCGTCTGCAATCTAAAAGTAAGTAAAATCTGCCCCAAAAAATCATGGCTGAGAATAGTCATCGGATGGTCTTAAAAAATCCGTTGTTTATTAATTCAAAATGGAAATTCTTTTCAAAATAATGGACATGCTTAAATGTCTGAAACAAATGTGCACCGAATTTAAAGAAATTTTTGTGAACAAGGCATTCTATGGCCAGTTATAGCAAGACACTTTCCAGACAATAGATTATAGATACGTTTTCAAGATGATAATTCATCGTTCTAGGGCAAGGAAAGCTTTTATGGAAAACAACCATATCAATACAATGGAGTGGCTGGCGCAGAGCCCTGATATTAGCATCATAGAAAATTATTAATCTAAACACTGAAAAGACGACGGATTTACCCGCTATTTTCCGAACATACGGCAGGTGTGACCGGTCGGTAGCGGTATGAGATCATCTATGGCATCATGATCTGATCCCATCTCTAATGTTTTGGGAATCCGTGTTAGGTGTCTGCTCCTAATATGTATTGTTTAATGGACTTTTGATCTTGAATGCTGTTCGTTATCTCTAGCTTCAGATATGTAGTGTTATGGTTTTATAATTTAATTTTGTTTATATTCTCGAAACTCATTGGTTGATTTCCAAAAAGGAACGCAAAATATTTTGTATAATCTGGTTTGGTATGGGGACACACCCCCTTGACGCCCAGCTTAATCATGAGAAGGATATGGAGATAACGAACAGTATTCAATCTCAAAGTCATTAAAACAATACAAAATAAGAGAAGAGTAAACACGGACCCCCGAAACATCAGATGTGGGATCAGGTGCCATGGAGAAGTGAGCATCCCATGCCGACCGGTCACACCCGCCGTGTGCTCCTTGTCATGATCAGGAAATAACGGAAAAAATCCGTCGTCAATTCAGTGTATAAATAATGGACTAACAATTGGTATGAAAAACGTCAGTCAGCATTTGACTCAATGATAAATTGTATTTGCTGACAAGGTCATTGTATCGACCATAGAACTTACGAAATGATGACTTTAAACGAGACTGCTGATATTCTTGTTTCATCAACTTGCCTGTCAATAATTTACCTCGTTTTAGAAATTGTTCATACGTAGAGCATGCTTTTGCGTATCGAATCAATTAAGATATATATACTCCGTATTCAGGTGATGAAGGTATATTGCTGCATAAGTAAGGGAAGTTGACGATAGAAAAGTTAAAGTCATCACGTTTATCATATAGCTTGGTGGTTGTTAGATAACCATTAGTGTCTTTTTCAAGTAAAATATCCAAGTATGAAGCAGAAGTGTCGGACTCTGTGGTATCCTTTATCTCAAGCTCACCAGGATATATCGTATCGACGTAGGAATGGAAATTGTCATTATTAATTGACAATACGTCGTCGATATATCTAAATGTCGAGTCTTATCCATTTTATCCATGCAATCCCCTCATTTCCAGTCCTCGGAATCCATGGAAAATTCAAGATTTTATAACTGTATCTTTAACTTCAAACACTAACTCGATCTTACCTCATGTTAACACACATCATGGCTGCTAGATCTATATATCATTTATTACCTTCCCTTGCTTCACATCACTTCCGTTACTACGGTTGTATTATTGTGCGGTAAATTTGAACTCGTAAAAAGCAACACAATTTTACATCCAAAGTTGGTTAATTATTTTAAAGTTGAATTATAAGGAATGACTCTAATTCTTGGCCAAATTATCGAGTTTAATCTGGTTTGGGTCAGTTTACGCTTTTTTATAATCCGCTTTGCGGATTATAAAGCGTAAACTGACCCAAACCAGATTATACTCGATAATTTGGCCAAGAATTAGAGTCATTCCTAAAATATATTTGTCATTGACCATAACCTATAAATGGTTGGGAGGTGGATAAAATATATATAATTGCTACAGAATGTGTCTAGAATTGGGGAGTGAAAGTTATTTGATTGACCAATGCTAGAAAGTGGAGAAATTCTCCCCAAAAGTGCGAAAAATATTGCGACGTAAATTGCACCTTTTTTGCATTACGGTTCCCCTGTAGCGTTATGGGCAAAGACAAATATATACAAGCTAATTCAGAGAAATTGTGTCCCACGCTTAGGGGAAAAAAAAAACCATGCGCAGTTCGGGGGGAAGGGGGTGGGGGGGGTCGGATACTCCTGACTGAATTTGTAAAAATTAAATGTATACATGTATACTGAAGGAAATAAAAGATGTCGATATGGATATAAAGATTTGAATGCTTATTCTTAATTATGTCTATAGAAGATTCTTTTTGTCCCCCGCTTGAAAAGTGGGGATATTAATTTGTCTGTCTGTCTGTAACGCTTTCGTTTCCACAAATATCTCAAGAACCCTTTAAGCTGTCGCAATATAATTATGCATAGGACCTCCCTATGGACTAAAGAAGAACCCTATTGATTTTGAGGTCAAAAGGTCAAAGGTCAAGGTCATGAATTCGCAAATTCTGTCTGTTATAACATTTTCTTTACATATCTCGAGAACCCTTTGAGCTTTTGCAATGAAATTTTATATAACAACTCCCTGTGGCCTAAGAAGGACCCCTATTGATTTAAAGGTCAAAAGGTCAAAGTTCAAGGTCGTAAATGTTTTCATTCTGTCTGTGTGTAACACTATCGTTTCCGTGCGATATTTCAAGAAGATTTTGAGCTTTTGTAATGAAATTTTATACCAAAACTCT